CTGGCCACTTCTGGTAGTGTGCGTGCTGCCGTAAGCATACCATTTCGACGACTCGACGAGTCCGAATCGGAATCTGGACTTCGACGCCTAATTGGCGAACGTGAGCGTGATCGCTCTAAACCTGGCTCTCTTGCAACGACATGACGCGGTGGTCTTGGTTCGTAATCAACCTCGGATGCAGAACGTCTCCATTCATCTTCTGGTGGTGGACGATGACTTTCATGTCCTATTTTAAAAGATTTTAAATTGTATTTGTTAGTGATGAATGCAAAATTTGTTTCCATTTAAATTGTAATTTACCCGAATATGCACCACGATAGCTGCCTCTTCCGCGTCCACGTCCACGATATCCACCTCTGGAAACATACGGTGGATAATAGCCACCACCCTCTTCATAATGGTGTGGTTCATGGTAGTAATAATCTGCACCAGCAGCCCCACCACTTGGCGGTTTGGGTTTAAATGACGATGTTGATGGTGGATTTGGATCGAAAAAGTCAGTACGTAAACGTCTGTCCGGTCCGCCCAAAGCAAAGCCTCTCATTTCATTTACCGCTGCTTGTGCAGCTTCAATTGATTCATATAGAATGTATGCTTGAATGTCACCTTTTTGATATTCAATCTTTTTTATTACACCGAAACGATCAAATTCACGTTCAAGCTGTGTATGCGATGTCCATGAACCTAAACCACCGACCCAGATGCGTGTGGTTGGTTTCACTTTAGCATAACCAATTTTACATTGAAGTTTTCCAATGTATTGGCCGGACAATTCAACTTTGGCGCGATGGGCCATATCCAAATTATGGAAACGAACGAATGCAAATGCATTACCTGAATCAGGTGGTGGACGTTTTATATCGATATCTTCTAAAGTGCCATATTTACCGAAGATACGACGCAATTCTTCTTCCGAAATATTAATTTCAAGATTTCCAGCAAACAAAGTTCGAGTTGCCAATGGATCGTCCTCTGGTTGCACGTGATGCAAGTAATTCGGAAATTTATTTTCTTTTTTATTTTCGGCAACCGGATGACGCGGTACGGTATGCCGTGGAACGTAGTGTTGATATGGTGGTCGATGTGCATAATACATTGGAGGTCCACGTGGCACATAAACTATAATTATTTAAAAAAAAAAATAAGCGATCCAATGCGATGATAAGCGTATGAAAAATATCAAATTTAACCTGATTCATGATGCATTGGTGGCCGGAATTCTCTCGGATGATGCATCACATGCGGTGGTGGTCCACCGTAACGATCGTACACATCGGGTGGCACACGACGATGATCGGGCACAGGTGCAGCGCCTAAATTAAATACAATTTTTCAATTTTGTATCACATTTGTTTTTTTTTTCTTTTCATTTATGTTTTATGGGACATCCATAAAATCGCGTTGAATCTTTATTTACCATAATAGGGTCTTTTATATTCAGGTGAAATAGATCGTTTGTACTCGTATTTGCTACGAGATTCATAGACTGGCTCACGTGGAACACGAACATATTCTTCACGATGTGGTGATATGTAACGTATGCGCGGACTTGGTGGCCTGCGTGGGCTTGGCGTTCGAGCTACTCGGCGTCGCAAACGTTCTGGACTCATCCGTTCATCTGAGCTATCGTCGTATCGTCCCATACTTCCTGGTCTACGTTTCGATCGCAATGGAGAATCGCGTGAAACGCTACGCCGCATATTATGAATTTTAACCGTGATGCGATCTCTCTCCGTCGCTTCCCAAATACTACTCATGAGCCAAACAAACTACAAGTGTTTTAGAAGATTTGTTTGTTATTGATTGGTTTTGTGAATGGTGAATTTAACACACACTACACAAAAGGTTAAACGAATGCTATTTGTCGTTGGCTACGTCTGAGATCGGCGGTTTAAACATTTAACCACTTAAAAAAAGTCAATGGGTAGTCTAAAAACGTAAAAAAGTAAAAACCACGCCATTAAATTTTACTAAAAGTAAAACAAATTGTAGATTTTTTTTTTTAATTTTGCATCTACGCTCAACACAAACAGAATTACAGCGACACTTATTTACTAAATGTAACGAAAACTTTTTTTATTTCTATTTTACAATAATTTCACAATGGACTGTAACATGTTGTTTTAATGACGCACCCAGTCCCTTATTGTAACTTTTATTTTGCATAAAACAATAATGAAACCATTGAAAATATTCCGGTTTCGATTACAAAATGAATTTGAATGTGGAAAAAAATTGAATTTTATAATATAATATCATGAAAATGGAATAAACCAATAGTTAGGTGTGACATGCTTAATTATATATTTTGATCACTTTACGTACAAACACCATTAAAATGCATTTGCCATTTTGTTTAATGTCAGATACAATTTATTCATTTAATATTAATATTTACGATACGGTTGTCATTTTTTTGTAGCTTAACTATTTTTTTACTTACGAATGAATAGAAAACAAAATACAGAACAAAAAATAATAATTTACAATTTTTTTTCGTTTTGGTCTATAAAACTTTGTGATGCGTACACCGACGAAGTAGATGTTTTAGTCGATTAATACGTTTGTCTTCCTTTGTTTTGAGAGCTACTATTACAAGCAATGGCTTTCACAAATTTGTGACAAAACACACGAAATATTGGTGATTAGTTGCCGCATTTGACGGCAGATGGCACAATCATCTTACACACCCAAATTTACTCAATAAAATGTGTTATTCAAACAATTATTTTTCATCTAAAATTCACATTATTATTGATTTAATATTTTTTTAAATAAATTTTTGATATTCTTCATACATTTGATATGTTTATGAATAGTTTTGTTACAGCTATTAACTTAATGCAAAAATGAAAATACAGATATCCACATATCAACGTTTTTATATTTCACGAAGAAATCAGAGATTTATTTGAATTTAAATAAAGAAAATCTTTCATTTTGAATTTTATTCTCATTATTTTCAATTCGGATGATTAGAAAAAATCCGGTCGACATCAAGTTTCAAAAAATCATTTATTATACTAAAATGTACAGATGAATGTGTACCAATTTTTTTTCGCAATTTCTAACTTATCCTAAATTAATTCAGTGTTACTCGAATAAATTTGGTTTGGTTTGTTATGTTTGGTTCATAATGGCAGTGGAGTGAACTATGGCCGAATCATTCATTTTCAAAGTAATATCAAATATGAAGTCGAAATTGTAACCCACACTTAATGTACACTTTTTAAGACCAACATACGGTACGGAGTTTAAAAATCACTAGCCCAGGGAAAATAATAACTATAATAAAAAAAGAGGAAAAAATTAAAAGTGGTCATAAAATTTCCAAAGATCTGAATAATAAATACACTGCCTGTAATTACTTGGAAGTTATACTTGATTTATACAGAGTGTCTCATATAACAGGGCCTACCTTTGGGCGGTATTTCTATCTGAGCAGAATTTTGAATTTGAATAGTGGCCCTGCTATATGAGATATTTTGCTGGTGAAGAGAGATCATTGCTGTACTCAAATTCATATCTTCTTGTTTTGTTTACTACAATGAATTTATATTGCACATTCATACGATTAGAACGGAACCAAGAAAAAAACTTGTTTTGAATATAACAAACATGTGTCTTGAAATTAATAATGAACAATCTGTCATATTTTATGTCTGTTTTTTCGTGCATTGATCACATTCTGAAAAGATAGAATATTTACTGTTACAAACAAATTCTAATATAGCTTAATTAATAATGGCCTAGTTTCATGGTTCTGATATCAAGTGATTGGTTTTTGCATTCTCTTAAAAATACCTTCTGTAAAATTGATGTTGTAATTGAAATATCTATACAAAAATGTGAGAGTTCGGTGTATAAAAGGATCCGAATTTTACAATATATGCATCAGTTGTGTTTTTACTATCAACAAAGATGAAAGTTTTTTACGTTGTAGCTTTGGTCATCTTGAGCGTGGTAAAAAAAATAATTAACGAATTTACTTACATAGGCACAAAGTTTTAATACTAGAAACAAATAATTTTCAGATTGCTCTTGCATCGTCGGAGGAACCGGTGAACGCAGGTGAAGTTTCGATTACTATTAATTTCAAAACTAAACATGTCAACTTGTTGCTCAATTTACCTGTTCATTCCATGTTTTAGGTGCTCATTTGTTTTTAGATGATAAAAGAGGTAGAGGTGGCAGCAGAGGAAGCAGTGGTGGCTCATCATTTGGATCAGGATATATAGGTCTGTTTTTGTTTTATTGCTTTTATTGAAAGAATTTTACTTATCTTTTCATATTTACTTCAAATTACAAAGCTGGTGGAGGAAACAATAAAAATGGAGGTAATAACGATGACGATTGATTGGTTTACTTTTTCTATGGTAGACACGAGTCAACAGATTTAGTCGAATTCAGTATTATTCGAATGAATTTGGTTTTTCTTGTTATGTTTGATTTAAACTTTCGTGTCAGTGTCTATATTAGGAAATTTAATTTCAACAAAAAACAAATTTTTATTGATTTATATTTCATAACATTATGTCATTTTGATTCAGGTCCACCCAAGCTCACTATAAGACGGTCTGTAGGTGGTAAACCAGTATTGCCCGGTACTGGTGGTAAATAAAACAAACCCGATTTTATTAATGGAATTTTCAACCCGTCAACTCGTCAATTATTCAACTATTGCTATAAAATAAACATATATATGTGAAATAATGAAATGCATTGCATTTTTCTTTTTCCAAATTAAGCGAAACAACTCCAAACAAATTACTTGAAAATGCTTAGAAAATGTAAAGATGTAATAAGTGTAGCAACACGTCCTTACCATGAACTCAAAATGGCTTTGTACATGATTTAATCAAGATTCGTAGAAAATTCGAAGAAAATGTGTACGCATTTGGTCACAGTTATTAGCAATCTCTTACCTTAGAACGAACACGATTCAGACAACACGATCCAAGCTCAACTCATTTATGATACCAATCACGATTCTTTCATTTGATTTTCACGAGAA